GGAAAACGTTATTAGTATGAGAATCATGGTGAGTTTTATTTGTTTGTCTTGTTTGGTAGTTTAACATCTCATGCAAGGGAACTTCAGCCTCAGCAAATAAAATATATAAAAACCCAAACAGTTTAGCTGCACCCGAGGGCCTGCACCATTGTATTGACCTTGATGAAATTTTATTTTGGGTGTGTTTGAATATTTGACATCTAGTGCTTATAGCTATCATAGTAATAGCTGCTTTCTTAATGTTTGTATAGTTCCAGGTTGAAATCTTGACTCCCCTACAGTGCTTGGAAAAAAACATTCATACATCGCAGGCGTCTTTGCTGCCTGGAAGCAGCGAGCATCTCCCTGCTGGGGATCAGGCCTGCCCACAGGCAGGGCTCAACCGCTGGCCGACGGACCGGAGCGTGGCAGCACCGGTGTTAATCCCACAAAATTGATCTCAGTTGTTTTGCACTTCTCCTTTGCCTCTCCCTTGGCCAAAGTGCCCAGGTGCAAATAAGAGAGAAAGATGTTGTAAAGTAGAAGGGAACATTATGATCATCAATACATCTCCCTAAGTAGCAGTGTGCAGTCATGGCTCCATCAAAGTGAGGGTGAATGTCCTTCATTTGCAACTGCTTGAGCAGAGACAGTTACCACTTCACAGTGGTCCAGTGTACTCCTGGTGAAACTTAGAATGTTAACACAGAGAAAAGCCCTTTCTTTCTACCTCTTGTGTTAATGTTCAAGGCTGTTATAAAATGCTTTGAGTAAAAGAAATCATTCCATCTCATATCCAAATTCTTTCTAGATGTGTCTGCTTGCTAAGTCTCAAACTAAGTTTCAAAATGAAGAAAAAAAAAATCTGTGGCTTGTCTATAGATCTCAAAGGGATAAGCATCTTTGCAACTCTGCATATAAAATTAGGTCCAGTTATACTGAGGCATTTTTTTTCTATCCCAGCAGAAGAAATTCCTTGAGAAGGACTGACATGTAAAGCCTTTCACTTCCTATCTGTCTGCTAGAGTAGCACCAATGATTTCATGTAGTAGATGTGAGTTGCATTAAAAGATGACCAGTAGCATTAGCGGTAGATCATCTATTATATTCTCCACTACTGAATACATTCTATCTGCAGCTCAGAACAGATCTTCTATCCATTCCAGACATGGCTGAAATTCAAAGATGAACAAAGTGATCCCGGCTGGTATTATAATGGATAGCACCCTGAGATATTTATCCTTCACAGTCAAGGAGTTAGACTAGATGATCTCATAGGCAATTTCCATCCATAATGTCTGCGATTCTTCTAGTGGAAAGGCAGCTGGGGATGCAGGAATTATAATTTCTAATTAGTATTTAGTTCTGCTTTATTTCTTTAGAGTGTTTGCATTGTTACTGACATGAAAAAGTATGGGGTAAAATTTTTAGTGTCAATGTTATTTAATAAATTAAGGCATTTTCTCTGATGTGCACAAGTATTTCTCTGTGAAGAGTGCCCCAGTTTGCATGAACTGAGGAGCAGAATGGTCTCAGGTATAGGTGTGAGGTGGTATTGAGCTCGGGTGCTGTGGTCTTGCCTGGTCCTGTCTGGATCGTCGCGAGCTGTTGTAGGGCAGTTTGTTGCCTCCAGCTGTCAGTCACCCCACTCTGGATCCCCAAACAGTCCCCTCCTGGGGATTCTGCATCTTCCCCTCTTGATACCAAATCTGGTGCTCATCATGGAGGTCTGCAGGCAGTTGGTGCTTTTATCTAATGCACAAACCTCCGGAGTGAGGAAGCTGGTTTTCATGAAGAAAAAATATGTTTTTAGCTTCTATAGTTACAGAGAAAAAAGTGAGTGTACCCTAAAGGTTCAGAAGCTAGCGAGTAAAAATATATTTTTTTTCTGTTTATATTATCAAAAGCACTATTAAACCCCCAAAGATGATTTTTTTTCTTTTTTTTATTTATTTATTTTTCAAGTGGTTGCTTATGTTGGGGTGCTGCTTCTTCTTTTCTGATTTTTGTCTGTGCCCTTTCATTTAATTCTTCAGCTATTAGGAAGGGGACATGGAGGGATCCTGGCTGTGCAGGACCCACAAGGACCTGCAATGGGGCCTGCTTCCTTTCTGCGTGATCAGAAAATTGTAGGATGCCAAAGGAGCCTTCCTTTTCTTTTTCAGTTCTGCTTTTCCCTAGTTGCAGCAATTTCAATGCTTACCTCCCCGCTCCCGGCATTTGCGAATGTTGATAAATGTTTGCCTTCAGCTGGAGCCTTGATTCTTTGTTTACGCCCTCTTCAACATCAATATTTTGGTGACCAGAAGGACAGGGAAAGAACAGTTTTCCACTGCTTTCATGATCATGGGGTAAATATTAAAAAAAAAAACAAAACAGGGTAGATGTGAAAATTACTATTTTGCCATTTATTTCCTTCCGGATGGGCCAGCTGCACACGTACTCATGTGTGCTTAGAGGTCTTTAATCACCTATGCACAAAGACTTGACTAAAATTGGTTCTGAAATACGAAAAAAAGAAATGTTTTTCATTAGTGAACGATCGCCAGCAGTGAAGCCGGCAATTAAAATCTTAACATCTGCTGAGTTAGTGATTGAACACTACAAATTTGAAGCTTGTAAAACTTTCAGCATCAAAGTGCTGATTTGGCTGAGGTCTGTGGTAGCTTGCTTCTCCCATATGCAGAAGTGCAGATTCCTCTGGGAAGGACTTTGCAGCTCCCCAGGGCACAAGAGTCTGGAGGAGCCCCCTGACCTGATGGGCTTCCTCGAAGAAATTATGACAGAAGCAAAGTGGTCTCTAGCTGAGCCTATTATGCTCTTCAGTGCTTCAACTTTCATGTTTAAAATTTTAAGCACTCAAGTTTCTAAGAGCATGACTGCTGAAGCACTTCTGAGGCTCAGCTAGGAGCCACTTAGCTTTTGCCAGGGAAAATCTTTGAAGCCTTGTTAGGGTTAAGGAGAAACTGTCTGTGTACCTGGCTGCTCTCTTGGCTCGGACCTCCCTGTTCCATACAGTCCCTTTCTTCTCTAATTCTATCTGGTTATCTTAGGATGCAAAAGGAATGGGATGCAGAATTTAAAACTGTATTTATGTAAATTTAGACTGAGTCATCTGGGATACTGTGTGCAGTTCTGTCACCTCAGGGTGGGGTTTGTCTGTCCTTACTTAAACATTTAAAAGATGTCGAAGTCTAAAGCAATCACTCAACATCTTTTCTAGACAAAAGAAAGAAATCGGTATTTCTAAAGACTGAGTCCTCAGGCATGTATTAGATGCCAACTGCAGGATGAAATGAATCACTTTGGGTGCCTACATTGGGCAGATGAGCCCTATCCTTTATTTCTAAAGGTGTTGCAGTCAAATGAAAGACATTTCAGAGGCAACAGAAAATGGCTAGGGAACAGGCTAAAGTCTCTGTCCTCTGAGAGGAGATTGGAAAGCTTACATCCAATTGCCTTTGAAAAACATTTATAACAAGGGATGCAATTAAAGTGGAAGTCCTCTCCCCTTTGTTTCCAAAACTGGAGGCAATGAAGTTAAAAGAAGGGAAAATTAAACTCAAGAAAAAAAAATGTACACAATGTTTAAACTGGAATTCTTTTTCAAAGGACGTTGTCTGAGTTAAAAAACATGGAATATTTCAAGGTCGTTTAGACAAATATCTTCATACAGATTTTCTCCAGTTAGTCATAACAGCGCTTTTGAAAAGCTATTACTCCACTAGTTTCAGATCTTGAACTGGATTCACACTACTTGGGAGTCGGGTGAGATGTAGCAAGAAGGCCACATTTCTCTACGAGTGCATCCTGCAAACAGCGGTGGCTGGCAGAGTCACAGCAGCTGTCACGGCAGGGCTGCCATGGTCAGGATTGCTGCCTGCTGCTGTGCAATGGTGGTGGGCTATGGTTGCAACACTGAGTTGCCGGGTGGAAGAACTGTAGGAGACAGTGAACAGGCTGTACACAGCATGGATGATGGACATGTCTTTCCAGAGGCCCTGCAGTGCCAAGAATCTGAGCCCCGTGTTGCAAGGTAGGAGGGAAAAATAGAGATAACCCTTGAGGGTCAAGGGTGGAAACTCCTGAGATGGAGGAGGCTGCAGGTTTGTTATTTCTGACAACATAACTAAGGC